CCCTCTCTTCATATGCCCTCTCTTCATATGCCCTCTCTTCATATGCCCTCTGCTCCATGCCCTTAATCATTTTTGTTGCCTTTCTTTGTATTCCAATTCCAATATCTTTTTTTTTTTTGAGATGGGGTGACCAGAACAGCCCACAGCATTCAAGGTGTGGGCGTATCATAGATTTATATAGTGGTTTTATGATCTTTTGTCTTATTTTCTATCCCTTTCCTAATGGTTCCCAACATTGTTAGCTTTTTCGACTGCTGCTGCACATTGAGTGAATGTTTTCAGAGAACCACCCACAATGACTTCAGCTCTTTCTTGAGTGGTAACAGCTAATTTAGACTCCATCATGTTGTATGTATAGTTGGGATTATGTTTGCCACTATGCATTACTTTGCATTTATCAGCTTTGAATTTCATCAGCAGTTTTGTGAGATCCCTTGATAACTCTCCGTAGTCAGCTTTGGACTTAACTATCTTGAGTAATTTTGTATCATCTGGAAACTTTGCCACCTCACTGTTTACCTCTTTTCCCAGATCATTTCCCTGGATCACCCTTGTCCACATGCTTGTTGACACCCTCAAAGAATTCTAATAAATTGGGGAGGCATGATTTCCATTTTCTAAAAGCTTCTTTAATGTAATATCTCCTTGCTGCTCCTTTTGTCTCCTCTTCCTATCTTTGCACCTTCATTCATGCTATTCTCATGCTAGGGCCAATCTACCAAATGAAATGGATTTTCTGTCCTCTATTAGTGAGAGACTGAAGGTCAGGTTCTTGCATCGCACGGGATGGCTGGTGAACATTGGCCACAAGCCCTGGTGAGCATCACCCCAGTGAAAGGTGATCCTGCAAGTGGCAGAGAGCTGGAACAGAGGCTTGTATGGCCCACATTCTCTCTGGTGCTGGCAAGGCAGGAAAAGGGGGTGTGGTTAGAAGAAAGGTGTCTTCAGGATGCTCCTTTGCCATGCCATTCCTGGGTTGCATTTTTTGCCCCCTTGTAGGTGTAATAGACCAGCGCAAGTCAGAACAGTCATCAGGTTGCTTTGTCAACACAGTGCAAATGGAGAGCATCTATAGGAACATACTAGGGTCAGAGCAATTCAAAGGAAACTTTACACATACACCTCTGATTTGACTTCTATGTGTTTTAGCTCTGCCCAAGAATCTGTTTCAAGAAGTGTTTCTTGTTAGGTATGTGGAGGATCTAGCATGGAGCACTTACTATAAGATGCAGCGTTTACCCTATATGTACCAATTATCAGATTACAACATAGTAGAGTTAGATAAACTGATATTCCCTGTATGTACAACTATGAGACTGTTTAAATCAGTATAGTAATAATAGGGCTAAACTTACCCCAATATGTGTAAACCGTACTTTCTCAGTTCTCACTTTTTTAAATTAACTGTCTCGGTGCCCAAATGTATAAGGAAATGCACTATATAAAATAAACAAATTTCACTTACATTTTAGGAAGTTGAAAAAAACCATCCGGATCTACTACAGCTTCCCAATGACCTTGAATGTGTTTCAAAGGCAGCAGGGTATGACTTCTTTTTTTTTTTTTTAAATCTTTAATGTGGGATTCATAAAAGTACTTAGTCACATAAACCCCAGATTTAGGTGCCTAAAACAGGGACGTAGGCACTCAAGTCCCAGTTTTGGCTCTACTGCAATCTGCAGAACTCCTGTCGAACCCTTTAGACACCTAAACTTGCTCTGAGTCTATGTTTCCAGAGTCAGATTTCCCAAAGTGTCTATAATTCTGCCTCTGAACATGTGCACTGCTGCGGACTGCCTAATCCTCCAGAGTGATTTCACAAACCAGTGGGAGCTGGGCATTTGGCTGCATAAGTCATACGCAGGGCCTGATCTGACCAGTAGGCATGCTCAGAGGCATCCTGCTGGATCGGGTCCGATTAAAAATTTGGCTGGATGAGGAGCCGCTGCCATCTGCCTTATAACTTTGTAGCTCAGTGGTTGGAGCACTTGCCTGGGATATGGGAAAGCCAGGTCCCATTTCCCCCTTCTCAGGCAAAAGTGGAGAAAGGATGTAAACAGGGGGCTCTCACCTCTCAAGAGCAGTGCTCTAACCACTGAGCTATGGGATATTCTGAGGTGGGGCTCCCTCAGTTAGAATCATAGAATATTGGGGTTGGAAGGGACCTCAGGAGGTCATCTAGTCCAACCCGCGGCTCAAAGCAGGACCAATCCCCAGACAAATTTTTGTCCCAGATCCCTAAATGGCCTCCTCAAGGTTTGAACTCACAACCCTGGGTTTAGCAGGCCAATGCTCAAACCACTGAGCTATCCCTCCCCCTTTCTCCTGCTAAAGCTATTCCACTATGGACAAATAATGAAAGAGAGACTGGACCCAGGGTCTCACCTTTTAGCTGGGTGACCATAACCACTGGACTACAGAGTAATTTTCTTTCTCTCTTTTGCCCAATGACTAAGTATTTATCCAAAGAGGAACACAGTCATTGAGGGAACATCACATCAGAATTAACATTATAATTGGTGCTGATTTATGCTATATGCATTCATAGAAACTGTATTCTAGGAGTCTGATGTTTTCCTTGCAGCTAGTCACTGAAAGAAACTCCATTTGGAGATGGACTTACATGGTCAAGCAGTTGCTAAATAATTAAATGCAAAGCGCATACTAATTTTAAGAAAATAGGGAGCATTTTGGCTTTAGCTTAAATTCTGAAGAAGTAGCTTGCTAATGCTGTTGGAAGGTAAAAGAATAAATATCCCATTACCTAAAGCTCAAATATGAGTATTGTTAGTATAAATATGCTCATCATATATTTATTAATTTAATGGTATTGGGGTTAAGCCACTCCGTGAGAATTTTCAAAACAAATTGCAAACCAAAAACCCTGTTGATTTAAATAGATATCCAGGTTTTCATTTGTAAATATGAAAGGAGGGGTGGCTTTAATGCTGCTTTAGCGGTTTATGTTTGGCTGTACAGTACAATTCTGCCTCATGTTATGTGGATACAATGCTTTGCCTTTGATTTGATAATCAGAAACTGGAAGGTATGTTGGGACCCCTATGCTGCCGCCACATATGCTTTTGAGGTTCCCCATGAGTACAGAGGTCCGCCCATTGGGATGCTATTGCAGGATTGGGATTTTACATCCTTCCTCTGTTAACAAAACAGGCTAGTCATTATATTGTTTGCGATCCTCTTGGTTTACTACCTTCCTGTGCAATTTGCAGAACCAACTTTGAAGTTATGAAGGCAGAGGCAGATGCCCATTTAAAGAAACTTTTGAAAATTGAGCATAACATGTCATCAATAGATGATTTAAAAGCACAGTATGGAAAATCTATTCAAGTAAGTGACATGGGTCTGATCCATCTCATGCTTCCCTCTTCCAAGATGTCCTATATCTCTAGGAGGTCACAAACAGGTCAGAAGAAGGAGTGGGTCCTGAACCCTTTTTCAGAGTTCATGTGCAGTCACAGTATGGAAATGGTTGAACCACTGGTTCATTTAATCCCAAAAGCTAAAATTAAGCCTAGGTTTCTACAGTATACAGATGTACCACTGCGGCATGACATCATCTAGAAAAGCAGAGGAGTTATTTCTGTTTTTTTACTTGAAAAACTGTTCACATTCCTGAAGAACAAAAAGGTTCTTTTGTATGCATTTATAAGCATTGATTATCATGGGTCCAATCTAACTCTGCTTAACTTAACATAACAGGATCAGGCCCTTCCTATGGTTAGAAAGTAGGTGCATCTTAAACAAAACTAAACCCTTGTATATGTATTGCACATCTCCAAAGTAAATAATTCACTATCACACCATCTTTCAGAGTCTGTCATATTATAAAGAGATACTCTTAAAGCAGGGTAATATTAATTAAGGGCATGGAGGCAGTCGTGTTCCTCAAATCTTCTGCTTAGCCATGTAATGCTGGCCAAGAACGCCAAGTGGTCATGTTGTGACAGTGACACTACATGATGTGTTAGGGGTAGGTGAGGTTCCCCAATAGTTACACACTTTTGAGGAAAACAACAAATAATGTAATTACAAGCAAAGTAGCATTCTGTAACTAGTTCTAACTTTCCATGAATTGCTGTGTTTCCAAAGCAAGCAGTACTTAGAGTTCTGTCTGATTTTTCTAAAAGCTATTGCACTGATTTGTTAACAACTTTGCCCCTCCCCTTGAGACTTCCGGATAATTGAGATGCATGTTGCTTTTAACCTGAATAAATTGCATTGTAAATATGCCTCAGGGCCATATAAACCGTTGGAAAGAGCTGGAGGAGGAGCTTGCCACCATTGAAAAGAAGAAGGCAGAACTTGCAGACTACCTCTGTGAAGATCGAAACAAATTGTCATTAGAAGATGTGTTTAACACAATGAAAACCTTCAGGGATTTATTTATCAAGGCACTAAAGGTGGTTTACACTTGTGAATAATTAGGGCTAGATTGTGATTTGAACTTATCACCCATGCATGGAAGTATGAATTCCCCTTCCCTTCTAGGCCCCTTTATACCAATATATGGGCTACCCAGACCTTGGATTTGAGTGCATAGGAGTCAATGGGGCTATTCACCTGCTTATGTTCCCCCCACCTCCAAGCAGGTGTGCAGAGAATGGGTGAACAAACTACTACAAAAATCCACTATTTGTAACAAAGAATTAAGGACGCTCCAATCTCTTGGCCTCTCCTTAAATGACTGGCTGGCCTCAGTGAAGTAAAAGCTAGCGATGTGTAAAAGTGAGTAAGCAAAACTGATACATTTTTAGAAGGGAGTAAAATCTTACTGAATAGCAAGATTCAAAACATGGTAGGGAAGGCCTACCCGGTGTTTACTCTGAAGAGCCTTCATTCTACCACTCATCCCAACAGCCCAGTGACTGAGCCACAGCAGTGGGTATCAAGTGAAGAAGCATGTTTGGAATAGCTTTTGCTTATAACTGCAAATATCTCCGTCAGCTCTTCTCCAGTTAACTTTTCTCTTAGATGTTTTATTTCACGTTCTCTCTGGATGTTTGGATGTAGGAAAACCAAGAAAGGAAGGAACAAGCTACAAAGGCAGAGAAAAGAAAGAAACTGCTTGAAGAGGAGGAAGCTAAGCGGCAAAAAGGAGAATATGGAAATATCAGTAAGTCTCACAAAAGTATTTTGGAATTATTTGCTACTTTTAAGGAGAATGTATGTCTCTATAGATGTGGATGATCTGATTTGTGACTGAAAAAGCATTGGTTAATTTTCTAAGTCCTTGGCATACTTATTCCATCAGATATGGAAGAAATAAAAAAAAACCACTAATTTTGAAGCCCTTTTCACACAAGGATGATAAAAATGTACACACCTCTTTTCTTACACCCCTCACAATGGGGCTAGAGCTAAAAATAATCACTCACGGTAAACAATGCATTAGCAGAAATAGAGGCTAATTTCAGTTTGGAGGCTTCTGATTTCTTTGCATTTCTTTTAACACTCATTTGCATCTTTTTAGGATATGACTCTGTTAAGGAATATTTAAACTAAGCTGTGTTGGGCAAAGCACATGTTACTCTTCCCCTTCTCCTCCTTCCCCCCCTCCCCTCCCCCGCATCCCCTCCCCCCGATTAGGGCTCTGATTCAGCAAATGCTTAAAGTTAAGCACATGCTTTGCTGAATAGGAACTGGATGACTTGCATTCTTAAAGTTAAGCATGCACCTAAGTGATATGCATTTTAGTGTAAATGTGTGCATGTTTAAATTTAAAATTCCATTTATATTTTAAGTTCACTTTACATGAAGGTTTGTGCCAGTAAAATTTGATCACTTGATTGTTCCGAGATTGAATGTAAAAGGAGTATTAGCACAGCTGAACGGGATTCATGTAAATGTTTGATTGGATGTTCACACACAAATATCTTGCATTTTTCAACAAGCTCTGAGTAAGAATCTGTGACCAAAAAAGCTCAATTCTTCTTTAGTCCTATTTGTTTTAACATCTATTCCAGTTACTGATCTTTAGAAACTTCTTCTAAAGCAAAATCTGAATGTTGATAACCAACCACAAGAGGGCCAAGATTGTCATTGGACAGACTGTATTTCCAATATGTTGTGTCATTAGCACGTAACAGTACATTTAATGTAAACTTATATTTAATATAGTCTTACTAATTAGAATAATCTACATTTTACTGTAAATACAAAAAGTAATTTAATATATTGGAAAGTTACTTAAATATAAAATTAAGAGTGAAATTTACCCCCTATGCAGAGAGACAGCACAAGGCCCTCTGCACCATTTAAGCTCTCCAAATTGGGTTTAAGAAGGATTCAAGCAGTGTTGGCCCACTGTATCAGGGTGAATTTCATTCTATATGGGTATAACAGAACAAGGAGTAATGATCTCAAGTTGCAGTGGAGGAGGTTTAGGTTGGATATTAGGAAAAAACTTTTTCACTAGGAGGGTGGTAGCACTGGAATGGGTTACCTAGGGAGGTGGTGGAATCTCCTTCTTTAGAGGTTTTTAAGGTCAGGGTTGACAAAGCCCTGGCTGAGATGATTTAGTTGGGAATTGGTTCTACTTTGAGCAGGGGGTTGGACTAGATGACCTCCTGAGGTCCCTTCTAACCCTATTCTATGATAACTCAAACATGAGTTAGGAATCTGGACTGAAGTTTCTTCCTCACTATTTATTGCAGAAAACTGTATGCCTAGCTACTTCAGCACTTGTGGGCATTCTTAGCTGCAATTCCTATTCACATTGACTTTTATTAAAGTAAGCTGGGGGACTATCAGCTCTGATAAAGTTAGAACCTGGGTGTTATTTAAGCTCCTCTGAAAATTCCCATCCTATGTATACACCTAGACATTTTAGAATCATGGTAATGGTGTTTTGGGTTGTTTGTTTGTTTGTTTGAAATATATGAACTAGATTTCTGTTTTAAGGAGGAAAAATTGGATGGCAATGGATTAAGTGAAGTCCTATTAGCATGTACTGACCGGATTCTTAGGCCTTGATCCAGCAGAGAGTTAAGCACATGCTTAATTTTGCTCAGTGAGTAGTTCTATTGGAGTCAATAAGACTACTCATATTGTATAAAGTTAATTAAGTGCATAAATCTTTGCAGGATTGGGACCTTAATCTTTGATTTACTGACACAAATGACTGTCACAAGTTCCTTCAAGCCAATATCTGGTTTCTGTATCTGTGCATATAATTGAGGATCACATATCTGCAGATGACAGACAGGCCCTTAGCTGTAGCGGTCTCTCAGGATTTCAGAGTGCACTGCATCAAAGTATTTTGATATGTATTATAATCTCATTCTTTATAGTTCAAAAAGGAGCTGAGAGACCAGAAGCATGTATCACTGATGCCTTATTAGTAGATATAAGGAAAGGCTTTCAGCTATGGAAAACTACTAGGAACAAGTCTGAGCCAGAAATTGTTCCCAAAACCTCGCCTACTGAAACTGGTAAGAGTACAGACCCAACTGCACTTGCAATGTGGCTACAACTATTAAACTCTAGTCTTCCATTACACAGTGCTAAAAAGATATAGGTTAGGATTTTCAAAGAAGCCCAAAGGAGTTAGGAAGCTAGCTCTAAGGTGACCAGATGTCCCGATTTTATAGGGACAGTCCCAATTTTGGGGTCTTTTTCTTATATAGGTTCCTATTACCCCCCCCCCCCCACGTCCCACTTTTTCACACTTGCTGTCTGGTCACCCTAGCTAGCTCCCTTTGAATTTCAAAGGAATTTAGGTACCTAGCTCCTTTAGGCTACTATTGAAATCTCAGATATAAGTGATTTTATTTGCATTATTTTTGATGCTTTATAATGGACAAGAGATTCTTTCTCTGCTGCTTCATTTTTCTTTAGCTTCTGTTACTTCAGCTTCCATTACCTGAAGTTACCAGACAGTTACATTGTTGAAGTGCCTCTCAACAGCTTGCTTCAAGGAACTAGTCTATATATTATGTGTGCAAGATGCTGAAATATTTGTTTTGATTTAGTTAATCAAGTGAGAAAGATGAGCTTATTTTAATGCAAACATGCATATATGCACTTTCCTATTATTTCTTTTGTGCCGTATTAGTTAGAATTTTATATGAACTAATTTAATTACATGTCTTGTATTGCCAGTATTGAAAAGAATGTCTTTCATATCGGACTGTCTAATGACAAGTGTAAGTAACACACATCTGGTGGTAACTTATATTCATATTATTTTTATACAAAAACTAGTAGCAGAAAGTAAAATTCCATTAAATTGATGAAAAGCAATACAGAGTTCAGTGTATGGTACAGAAGTTCCACTGAATTATAAGGGCCTGTCCTGCCGTCTTTGTGCTCTCAAACCAGCCACTGACTTCTGGAGCTGCAGAAGCAGACCCCAAAACCAGTTTCTTAAGGAGTGCTAAGTTTTAATGAGGGCCAAATTCTCCAGCCCTTAGGCAAAATTCCAATTGTCTTCAGCAAGAAAGGACTTCAGCATTTGGTCCTTAAATAATAAACTCACAGATGTCAAAATGGTCCGCATCAATTGGAGAAGTGTGACTAATTGTCCACCCTTATCTACTACTTACAATGGTGGAAGAATCCAAGCTGCAAGTAAAACCAGTTGAAGGGAAATGTAGTTTTGTTGTTTGCTTCTTGTTTCCTCTTTGATCATTGATTTGCAGTGATAAAGTGTAATTGTGGTGAAAAAGTACAAAGAATAGGCTGCAGGAAACAAGACACAGAAACTGAGTGTCTGATAATTAGTACTTTGAAATATACTGTAAAATAGAATATTGACTGTTTATTAATGGAGCATTGTTTAAAAATAGGTATACATTGTATTGTTTTCTATTTGTACTTGATGCATATTTTGTTCTTGTCTTTGTTCATCTCAGTACAATGCTAAACAAAGTTGCCTGTTGTGTATGTTTTGTTTTCTATTAAGAAAAAAATGGTCATGGTCATTCTTTTACTAAACTGAGCCCTCCTGGTCTCTCTAAACACACTCCTTAGGTCTCAGGCCTCTAGAGATCACCTGTCTCTCAGGGTGGAATCACATGATTCTCTCACTCTCAGACCTGGCTCGGGGTTGCAGTCCCTTAGTACTAACTGTGATTATCTCAACCGGTCTGACCTAGACACAGACCCTGCAGTCCTGTATCTTCCAGGGTAATGACAGTGTTAATCAGTGACCAAACAGCCTTCTGAAAGCAAAGTATCATTTATTTACAACAAAAGAATTTCAGAGAAAACAGACGTTGAAAACAATGATCAACCCTATATATATGTCTGCTTACAAGGTATCCAATCATCTCACGCATGGGAACCCTGGAAAAATTCCGTAGACTCTTCCACAGTGCCCCCTCTGTCAGCTTGTGTCCCTGTCAGAGTTCATTGGCAACACCCTGCACAGCCCCTGGCAACTCACTCCCTTCCTTTTCCTCAGAAGGCTTTTGTAACTGTTTAGTGTTGTTTTGATCCCTAGCCTCCAAGCCTGATATAACAGCTGTGTCGCTTTTGTCTAGTCAGAGCTTGGAAACCTGCCATTGTTTGGTAACTGCCCCACAATGTTTGCTGGGAGGTTGCTTATCTGAAACCACTGTGTTGCCTTACTGTTTATTCTTCCCACAGTCCCCTATTAAGCATTCATACAGGAAAGTCTAGTAATTCCAATATACAATACCTTCCCCTCACTGACCAGTCACATATCATGTTCATCAAATGGTTATGTTTCAGTACATCATTACATATCAGCTCCATGTCTGTTACACTCCCTCTCTTCTTTTCTTGAATGCTTTGACAGATAGGGAATTAATTTAAATCTCAACGTTCTTAACTATTATCTTAGGCAGAAGACTTTGAGAAAAACCTCAGTGTAGACAAGATTGGGTGTGTGCATATGAGCCTAAATCATTCTAAATATACTAGGAATCGTGTAATTTCTATAGAAAGTGTGAAGATTGTGTGATCCATCCCCCAGGTCCTACAAATTCATATGGGTCCATGTGACCAAGAAAGTTTAGTATTCAACACACACCAAGCCACACCCACATAATGATAGAGAACCATGTGCATGAGACTGGAACGTGTTCTGTGCTCTTCCATCCACCTTTCCCTCAGCAACACAGCCCCATGAGTCTCAAGCCAAAAGCTGTTATGTCCATTCCCTCCCACCGTACAGACACAATCCCTTGCGTCTCAGGTATTAATGTGCATGTGTGAGCCCTACAGTGACACAGCCCCCTCAAGGGGTGCTGGAACAATTTGTATAATGGGGGTGCTGAGAGCCATTGAACCAAACCGTAAACCTTGTATATTACAGAAACCACTTCAAGCTAAGGGGTGTGGCAACACCCCCCACACCTCTAGTTCCAGCACCTGTCTACCACAGGCTGGAGTGTCTGTCTGTCACCAGTCAGGGATGTCACTTGCTATGGGGAAAAAAGGCAGCAGTTGCCCTTCTGACATTTATTCCTCCTCCCCTGACTTTTAATAGGTTCATATGCTCTACTTTTTGCTCCACCACCATTCCAGCATTTTCAGGATATAATATAATCATGTATAACATTATATATGATGAGACACCCTTGCCACCCTCCTCACACAGACAGAATTTGCCTGAAATGATTCCCCTGTCCCCAGTGACACAGCCTCATATGCCTCAGGCTCGAGTGCGTGTGTCCAGTGACACAACCCCTAGTGCCTCAGGCTGGAGAGGGGGAGAGAGAGAGAGTGTGTGTGTGTGTGTGTCCAGTAACACAACCCCTGGTGCCTCAGGCTGGAGAGGGAAAGAGAGCGAGTGTGTGTGTGTGTGTGTGTGTGTCCAGTAACACACAACCCCTGGTGCTTCAGGCGAGAGAGAGTGTGTGTCCAGTAACACAACCCCGGTGCCTCAGGCTGGAGAGGGAGTGTGTGTGTGTGTGGTGGTGGTGGTGGGGGGATTGTCCAGTAACACAACCCCTGGTGCCTCAGGCTGAAGAGGGAGTGTGTGTGTGGTGGTGGTGTGGGGGGGTTGTCCAGTAACACAACCCCTGGTGCCTCAGGCTGGAGAGGGAGTGTGTGTGTGGTGGTGGTGTGGGGGGGTTGTCCAGTAACACAACCCCTGGTGCCTCGAGGCGTGGAGAGGGAGTGTGTGTGTGGTGGTGGTGTGGGGGGGTTGTCCAGTAACACAACCCCTGGTGCCTCAGGCTGGAGAGGGAGTATGTGTGTGTGGGTGTAGCGTGTCTAGGGACAGTCCCGTGTGTGTGTATGTCCCGAGCCGGTCTCGGAGCCCGGGTGCCCCTCACTGCCCGCCCCCACCCCTCCCGCGGTCCGGGCTGGCCGGGCCATGGGCAGGTGGCTCGCGCGTCAGCGACGCGGGGCGGGCTCGGGGGCCCGGCTAAAAGGGGCGGCGGGCCCGGCGGGGGGAGCGCGCACACAGCTGGGCTCCGGGGCGGGCGGCGCTGAGCGAGCCAGGCAGGCCCCATGGCCGCCAGCCGGGCGTCCAACGGCCGCGCCGCGCACCCCAGCGCGGGGCTCAAGCGGGCGCGCAGCGAGCCGGGAGGCAGCAGAGTGACCGTGGTGCTGGGGGCGCAGTGGGGGGACGAAGGCAAAGGGAAGCTGGTTGACCTGCTGGCCACCGAGGCGGATATCGTCTGCAGGTGCCAGGTGGGTGCAGGGCGGCGGCGGCCGGGGAGCGGGGCCATGGTGGCTCGCAGGGGGCAGCTCCGTGGCTCTCTTCTGCTCTGTGGCGTCTTGCTTGTCTCCTGGCGTGTTTACCCTGGTGCCTTTACTATGCTCTTCCCTCCGGTTTTCCGTTTCTCTTCGCCTCGCTTTTCTTTAGCTCTTGTTCTGTCTTTTCACCCCTCTGGCATCTTCCTTCCTCTCCTTTTCCCGGATCCCTTTTCTCTTCCTCCCTTTTCTCTGACTTTCGGTTTCCCCCTTTTCTCTTTCTATCTCCAGTTTTTTTATTAATTCTATCTATCTATCTAATCTATCTATCTATCTATCTATCTAATATCTTTCTCTTTATTTGTCTATCTTTGATCTCTGTCCATCTCTGATATTTCTCTTTGTCTATCTCTGATCTCTGTCTGTATCTGATCTTTATCTGCCTCTGCCATCTCTCCATCTCTGATATCTATCTGATATCTTTCTCTTTATCTCTCTGTTTCTGCCATCTCTTTGCCATCTCTCTCTCTCTCTCTCTTCTCTTTTCTTTTCAGCACATTCGCATTGTTTCTCTCTCCTCTTTCCCCCCACTCTCTCATTCCCTGTTTTACTTTCTCTCCCTTGCCTCTGTGCTCGAGGAGGAGGTGTGATTCTTCTCCAGGATTGGGCTGGGACCCTTCCCCCTCCTCTGGTTGCAGATTAAAATGTCACTGGGAAAGAAAAAGTCCTGAACTATAAATATAAATAGCTGACCGTTCATGATAAGAGACACAAGATCCCGATGTTCAGACAGGCATGGGCAGTGTCTGAGCAAGGCGTCTGCTGCCGTCTGATAGCGACCCATCGGCTGGCTGGGGAGGGGATGCATGCAGCAGGTGTCAGATGATTGCCGCTTGGAGAAAAGGTTGCCTAAGGTGACCGGAGGTTGGAGCAGCTAGAGTTTCCCGGTGGCCTGCCCTCTCCCCTCCTTGCACTGTGTCCTCATGATCCATGGATGCTTCCCCTTTGGAAAATTCATCTGGCTGGGTTCTGCTGGAGCCCTACATTTCTGTAATTATATGTAGCAGGTCCCAAGATCTTTCGTTTAGCAGCCATTTCCACTCAGTTGACCACTTGCACTTAATGGATTTAATACTACTCCAGTTTTGTTATTGTGTAAGGGAGAAATTACTAACTAGTTCAAAGACTAGTCACTAATAAATCTTAGGAGTTCTCTTCAGTTTTGAGGCCATGCATTTTGGATGGGCAGATCTTATTTCCTACAGAATTGCTTGAAACTCCTTTTAAAAATCTTTTGAAATAGAACATGTATAGTGAAAATCGAGAAAGGAAGTAGCCACTTGAAGTATTTTGTGTGTTCATGGAACTTATTACACTGCTTTGCTTAGATTTATTTCTGATTTGGTCTGAATACTAAATAGAGTATAGTTCAAAGAGGCTCAAAACACAGAGACTTGTTTAGTAAAACCTAAGAATGTGGGCATTGTATCCAATATACATAATCTTAATTACCTAAAAAAAAGATAGTCAAAGCATGAATCATGAAAGTGCTTATGCAAATATACATACTAATGCTTATCTGAGGAAGAGCTCTGTATAGATGGAAAGCTTGTCTCTCTTACCAACAGAAGTTGGCTCATTAAAAGATATTGCCTCACCCACCATGTCTCTCTGTTGTCTTTTAACTGCTATAATAAATATTTCTATAAATTTTATTCTGATTGTGTTCATACAAGTTCAGCTCAGTTAACAGATTATATGAAATGTTTCTGTTTTAAAATGCACAAGGGCAAGCAGTGAAAAGCACTGATATCCTTCAAACTGAGATAACCCCAAGGACATTTCCTAATTAAATATGTTAAGTAAATAAACTTTGACACATGAGTTAAATATTAAGAATGTGGGTAAAGTATTTTCAGTTGGTATGGTAAGCTGCTGGATCTTGAATTACCTTGGGAGGTTTTCCCTACAAATGGAGACTAATGAATGTGATTCAAATGAATATACTTAAGGTTCCTCCACAAGTTTCTCTGTAAACTTTTATAGGCAGCAGTATATACCCTGGTTTTAGAACCACTTTAGGAGAGTGGGGTAGGGAATTGGCTTGAAAAGCTTAAGACTGGATCTGGACACACACTTTTTATTAATTTTACTACTGTCAGTAGTACCACCA